TTTAGGGGCTTTAGGGGTTGCAGTTTAGGGGTTTAGAGTTTTTTAGGCTTAGGGTTTAAGGCTTTAGGGGCTTTAGGGGTTGCAGTTTTAGGGGTTTAGAGCCTTTTAGGTTGTGGGGTTTGGGGTTTAGGGTTCAGGGTTTAGGGTTTAGGGCTTTGGGCTTAGGGTTTAGGGTTTAGGGTGTAAAGTTTAGGTTGTGGGGTTTGGGGGGGGCTGATGTGGCAGGATTTCTAGAGGGTCTTAATCTGGTTCTAGAAGGGTTTCAGCAGGCTTTTGTGTCAATGTCTTACGTCTGTTGCTTGTCGGGTGATTTTGCAAGGGGTCGCGTTCTAGGGCTTTGGGGCTTCAGGGTTAGAGCTGTTGGGTTTTAGGGCTCTAGCGGGAGCTTTCTTGTGTTGGTTTGACAAGAGGGACAGTCTCTGGAAAGCCGAGTATTGAAAACTTGTTTTTCCATGGGGCCCCCCAAAGCATGGTAAGCTTAGGCTGTGACATATAGATCTGAATACTTAGAAAATATCCCCTGACAGTGCTAACGCATATAGAGTGCACTCTTCCTCAACCCTCTGATCGAGTTATGTAGGCACCCGTACGAGGGCATGCCCTTCGTCCCTACCTGAGAGTATAGGTTGTTCGAGATGTCTAAGAGCACTTCTCCTACTTGGTCATAGAATGTGTGCATATGCATAGTATATGGGTAGTTTTCTAAATTAGGGTCCCCTTTGGGGGTCCTTTTTATAAGGGTGCCGTACTATATTGGGGACCCAAAAAGGAACCCCTAATTTTGAGAACTACCCATATATAGTTATGTTTTATATCCTGCATAGCCTGGAAATTGCATGGTGTCGGGCTTTCTGGTTTGGGGGGTGGAGGGTGGCGGGCTGTGGAAATTCATGCACTTGCTACCTAAGTTCGGACTTCGGGCGCGCGATCTTCCTCAATCTGCTTGTGGCTTCAGCTTGGGATGGGAGATCTCTTGGGCCCCATACCCAAACCCTAAACCCTAAACCCTGAACCCTAAACCCTGAACCCTAAACCCTAAACCCTAAACCCTAAACCCTAAACCCAAGTACATTCATTTTCCAATAGGTACCCCTACCTGAAGCTCTTGACCTGAACCCTAACAGCCGAGGCTTTCTTTAAATCTTCATCCCGTCATGCCCTTCTTCATCACACACCCTGAATCCCTATATAAACCCTAAACCCCAGCACCCCAAACCCTGAGACATAAGACAGTTTTGAGGAGATTTGGGGGTTAGCAGGGTTCTGACTGCTGCTCAAGGCTTTAGGACTCTGGGTTCTTAGGATTTTAGGTGCTTGGTTCTTAGGGTCTAGGGTTTAGAACATCCTGAAGCCGAATCCGAATCCCTTCGCCTATATGCTAAACTTCCAAGCCCGCTCCGACATGCGAACTCCGTAGTCCTAAAAACATCCGCTACACTGCGAAACGGTAAATCCCAAACCCAAGGCCATGGATGGTTGTCGACTTACAGGAAGCGAGCAAAGAGACAAGACAGCCGTCCGAATACTTGGTAGTGGCATCCCTTTCCAGTCCCTAGGTACGTATACTGGATGACATACACCCGTGCCCGTGTTGTTGTTATCACGACATCATCCATGATGAAAGATGTAAAACGAGTTATAGAGGGCATAAGCAAATCTTGCAGCGGGCCGATGTTTCTAAAGTGTTGGTTTTTTGAATAGGGTCCTGGGATTGCCGCAAAGAAAACTAGCCCCCCGAGCTTGGCGACTAATACAACGAGGAATCAGCAGTGAGTACTCGTATAGGAATTAGTCTGATGAAGTATTCCCCCATAACCCCTACACATCTAGATAGTAAGATGTGTGTAAGATTTGTGTACTTATATATTTATGTCTGCTAAGAGGGAACAACGCTTATGCTTTTCTGCTCTAAGCTTTGTGGTTTCAGGTTTAGGGTTTGAGATTCGTGTGCAGGAGCGCCAGAGAACTTGGTGATCCTCTTCCGCAGGGCCAGTTACCTCGTGGTGTTGCGATATGAGCAGGCAAGACCAAGCCACCTCCTTAGCGGCCGAAAAGCAACCTTCAATCAGAGACTTTTCAACTCTTTATCACCAAAATGCCGTAAAGTTCTAAAGCCCCCTAGACTAACAGACCCTAAACCCTAAACCCCGAAAGCCTGAAAGCTCAAAGCCCGACAACCCTGTCCTAAGCTCCAAGCCAACCCGAAGCCCGGAACTTTTCGGCCACATACCCGAGCCACCCCAGCTGTAGTATAACCTGTAGAAGGCATGTGCTGTTTTTTTTTTTTTTTTTTTT